TTGCTACATTGTAAGTATATATAGCTAAATAAAAAACTAATCAAAATTATAAAAATGCAAAAAATAAAATGTTTATATAAAAGCTCATTCAAAAATATTAATAAGTGCTATAATTGTATATAAATAATGCTATAAGATACAGCTTTTGCAATACAGAATGTTTGCAGATTGGTTCTTTCATCTGGTAGTTTATTAATCTGTTTCATCGTTTGTATCGGCTGAATGCTTTAGAGACAAGAATATATTATTTTTATTATCGTAGGGGCACATAATGCCTGCAGAGGGGAGAGAGAGCATTATTCAATATGTGTCATATGACAGTAAATTTGAGTTTTTGTCAGCAGCTTGCACTAACACATGCTGTTTTTTTGGAAGTGTCTTGAGAAGCATCACTGCCATAATGATGCCATGGAGAAATGAATTCACAGTAATAAGCTGAGAACCTGCCAGCATACGAACATAAAAAAAATATTATTTATCTCAACTGTACAGTAGCTTGCAGTTTCCATAACAACCTTAACGTCTTCATTGGCCGATGAGAGGGAACATGTGCTTTTTTCCCTAGGCATGTGTTCCAGTGTTTGTGTTTATTTTATCCTTTAATGAAACAAGGGTTAACGAGGACATTGAAGACAGCACTTTATTTGTGTATAGTGTGGTGGATCATTTCTTTTTGCACTCAGGATGGTTTGTAATGGATCTGTTTATTTGTTTATGAATAATGTTGTACCAAAGTGACCCAAATGGAGCCATTTGCACCATCACATGATTTTTAGAGCGTTTTCTGCTAAAATACAGCTGGAAGTGCAGATTGTTGTCTTAACATTGTGTTTGTTGTGGAATAATGCATGCTTGTGAAATTACATCTGTGAGATTGAATGTTTCATCCATTAGAGCAGCATATGTGCCAGACATATTATGTGCGACCCATTCATTTTGTCATGCAGGTACTGTATCTGCTCACAGCAGTGTAGCTTGTGTATCTTTTTATTGATTTCATCCTTGGGATAATATTGATCACAAACACAATATACAGATAAAATGTTTATTTTTAGTTTGTTATATGTTTTATGCTGTGTAATGTTAGATACATTTTACTTGCTTTGGGAATTTTTAATCAAGCCTGTGTATTTACTTCCATTCAAAGTTTTGGGGTTAGTAAGTTGTTGTTGTTTTAAAAAAAAATCTATTTTAAATAAATGTTTACTGCTTTCTAAAGGATCTGCTGGATAAACAGTTTCTGAAAATACAGCTTTTTTATCAAAGAAATAAATTCCATTTTAAAGTTGGGCTGTCAAATCGATTAATCGTGTCCAAAATATGTATATTTCTTAACTCTGACGAGTCCATGCGTGTGTGTACAGTAGGTGTGGATCAGATATGTAGGAATTTATAAATACATATAAATATACACAGTACACACACATATATTATGTAAACAAAAACTTTTATTTTGGATGCGATTAATCATGATTAATCGATTTGACAGCCCTATTTAAATATATAAAACAGTTATTTAAAACCATAATGTATTTCAGTATTATATATCGATTGTTGATTGAATCCATGTTACTTTTTTTTACTGTAATTTTGATCAAATAAATGCGGCCTTGGTGAGCATAAGAGACTTACGAAAGAGACTTTCAAAAACATTAATAAATCTTATCGACCCAAACTTTTGGTAGTGTATGTAATCTTAACTTTTCATGAATAATTTTAATCACAGTCACAATACTTACCTTTTTATATCCACACAAAAATATAATATATTTTAAGATATATACAGGTGCATCTCAATAAGTTAGAATGTCGTGGAAAAGTTTATTTATTTCAGTAATTCAACTTAAATTGTGAAACTCGTGTATTAAATAAATTCAATGCACACAGACTGAAGTAGTTTAAGTCTTTGGTTCTTTTAATTGTGATGATTTTGGCTCACATTTAACAAAAACCCACCAATTCACTATCTCAACAAATTAGAATATGGTGACATGCCAATCAGCTAATCAACTCAAAACACCTGCAAAGGTTTCCTGAGCCTTCAAAATGGTCTCTCAGTTTGGTTCACTAAGCTACACAATCATGGGGAAGACTGCTGATCAGACAGTTGTCCAGAAGACAATCATTGACACCCTTCACAAGGAGCCACAAACATTCATTGCCAAAGAAGCTGGCTGTTCACAGAGTGCTAT